ATATATAATACAAGTTTTTCCTCATATAATGTTCTAATTTTCTTTCTTTCCCGAAAGGGAAATTCTTAATTATTCTTATTCTTAGATATTATGATATCCCACAAAAATATATTGTTTTAAATTTTTAAATTACTGATGGATCATTCCAGTAGGTATGTTTTATAGTTCTAAGATGTGGTGCTAATAATTAATATTAGTTCCAGATCTTTTAAGAACAATTTCTGTTTATATATTTTATGATTTTTGTAATTTTTTGTAAAGTTTTATGTTTCATGCTGAGTATATGATAAGAGCATGTCTTAACTCCAAGTTAAAGTTTAAATTGTTTTTAAAATAAGTTCTGAGTGACCTCTCAAAGCGTAAAAGCCCAGTGAAGAGGCTAGGAGACGCATAGTAGAGGGAAAGAGATCTCTTTTTTAAGAATTCTTGTTAAGGGAGTGCCGTGGTGTCCTTACAAGAATGGAGTTATGCTCAAGTTCATATATCTCAGATGGCATTTTTATTTTGATTTCTTTGAATGAGATTTAAAAAAAAAGAAAGGGATATTGGTTTATCAAAAGAGTGAGATATCATGATTAAGAAGAGTACTGAGTAGGATTTATTTAAACAGTTTTATAACCACCTTCAATCCAGGACCCCCCTCTCCAACAAATATTGACTTGTTTATAGTTATGTTCTTTCTTAGAAATAAAGTAAACAAATTTTTTGTTTATTTAATCTAGGCTGAATTTGTTTAAGTGTGGTCTGGAATTAGTATAATGCAATTTGTTGTGTATACTTTTAAAATGGGATGCTGCATTTTCCCTTTGTGTGCAGCCTTATCAACCTGGCTATACTGCTCCTTCACGGCCTCATCCTGATGAGTCTGCCATAGATATCAGGTCTTTTCGGTTTTCACATGTTAAAAATATTGTCTTCTGTTCATTCCAGATGCAAGAAGCTTTTATTGTATTAAATTAGTGTTTATTGGCTGCTCCTATCTTGCACCATCTACCCGTACAAAATGGAAAAGGAAAAGAAAAGTGGGGGAAAACCCAATCGCTATGACAGATTTGAGATTTAGCTGTTCTTTTCATTGTGATTTGGGTAGTCATGTCATATTTTATGATATGTAGGTTGTTTAGTGCTTGTTTGATCCCCATTATTTTCAAAATACATTTTTCCCTCTCTTCTGTTCAACCACATTCTTCAATAAAATAATATTACACAACACACAAACCCAAAATATTTTTTTTATTTTTTAACTATCAATCTACTATTTCAAAATGCATTCTTATAATAAAATGGGGCTCAAACAGGCTCTTAATCTGTCTTCCAGGGGAGTATGGCAAATATCTGGGACACCACTGGATGTGCACGATCCTCGTCTTCTGGAAATTGCTGAGGCGGAATGTCAGTTCTTTCAAGCTGAATATGATGACTATAATAGCACAAGCAATGGTGGTGCTGCATTCTGTCGTTCAGTTGCTCTAATTGTAAGCCTTTGCTAGTCTTTTAACTAAATTCATCATAGGCATTAGTCATTTGCTTTTCATTTCAGTGTTTCATGTGCTAACTTCTGGAAAAGAAAATTATCTTAGAGTGAAATGCCACTTTTTTTGGCAAGTGTCAAATGGTATCATTAGCCTAGAAAGTGAAAAAAATAGGTAGTGAAGTATTGGTTACTGCAAAAGCACAATGCAGTGCTCTCAGTGCAGGAGTGCCATTCCTAGGCTCTTCACTTTTGCATACGCTCTGTGAATAAATAAAAAGGCAGCAAATATATTGTACAGTGGTTTCTTGTGGTAGAGTTGTGAGAGGAAAATGGTTGGAGGAGGTGGTTGCCATGTACTTGCGCATACGATCGCCTGCGAAAAAGATGAGCTGTTAAGGGTGACAAAAATTTGATGGCAAATGATTGTGATGAAAGAGGAACACGGAAGGAAAAACGGAGAATGAAATGAATGTGAGAGGTAAAATGTTGAGATGAAATACTAATAAAGAGATTGAACGACACGGAAGGAAAAGAGATTGAATAATGAAATTTTGACAAACTTGATTTTCGCGACTTATTTTGCAATATTTATTAACTGCTCAAAGGCCACTCGAAACATTATCAATCTTGATGCTCTTCACTACTTCTCCCTCGTGTTTTTATGTGACTTAGGCTCTGTATGTCAGCTAAACCAATTGTTTTTGCCTCTTAGGAAGGAAAGCAAGAGAAATATGGAAACGGATGCATACAAAGCTTTAGTTCCTAGGAGAATATATATGATATCATATGGGAAATGAATTTGGGTGGGAAAGAAAGACACAACCTATCCCCCCAACACTCATACAATAGTGAGAGTGAGTGAGAGAGAGTAGGTGGAAAGCGAACAAGAATGAAAAAAGAGGGAGACGACTGTGTTCGGTAGTAAATGGTGCATAGAATAGTTGTTTTGGAAGGAATGCAAGAGCTCAGAGGGAGGGAGAGGACGAGAAGGACTGAGACAGCTAGCTGGGGATCTGTGGTTAAATACTGTAAGGTTTTCTTTTTTCATTGCGCCAAGAGTCTTGACAATGTTAAAACCATTATGTTGATTGACTCAGGTGCTGATGTCCAATCCTTTGAATTGGAAGAGGATCCTTTATATCATTTTGTTGTTTTGGTATGATTTAAAATGATTTCTTATTTGTATCTCACATTGCTACACTTGAAATGAAATCCAAATGAATTATTACAATTTTCCATTTTTGGGGAATATACACACACCTAAATATGCATCTAAAATTACCAGTATATATATTTCTGAAGTAATTTTAGGTTCGTTAGAACTAACACGTAAACAAATACCCATGTCTAAATTTTGGACCCTTTTTAGCCTTATCCCAACATACTAGATTTCAGAAAATGGGTCCAACTCCTAGCTATGTGCCAATCTAACACGATCTCATGCCCTTATCCTTGTTGTGTTGTAATGGACAGTCCGAGTAACAATAGACTGTAGGAAACGTGTGCTTCCTGTCTCAAAACTCCAAAGTACACAGTTTAAACACTATTGCTGCTACTGTTTGTAACCATACTGGTGGGGTATAATCTGGAGACCAACAGAATCCAAGGAGTGGAACTTTGAATCTGTGCGTTAACACATTTTTTTCTTCTCGGAAATGATATAATAAAATCTTAGAAGTTTTGAATTTTACATTGGCGGTTGAGCGATTGTCAGAGAATTCAATGTTCTCTTGATATTTACTAGATTGAAGGCACGAATCAACCTATGAAAAATTCCTCCAGTTGGATTCTGGGACATGCTACCCTGCATAACAACTGAAAATGTCTTGCTGTTGTTTATTGGCAGTTAATGGCTCTTCTGCTATTGCGGCAAGCATTGTCTTTAACTGATGGAGAAGGAGAGGGAGATGGAGATGGTGATGAAGATGCATCGACTTTCTTCTCCGTAAGTTGATGCGAACTCTATGTTGTCATTTGAATTTTCTCGCCGTGGTTGGTTTGTTATTTATTATCCTGATTACTTGATATATGCAGCTTTTCTTGCTTCGAGTTGCCGGTTTCCTTTTACCTTGCTATATCATGATCTGGTCCATTAGTATCTTGCAACAGCGAAGGCAGAGACAGGTTAGTCCATTTCTATTGTAATTGTTACGATATCTATTTGCTTTTTGGGTGTGCAAGCCAGTTCTTTGGGATTGAAGCATGTTACGTGGAAGTAGAGGCATCAAAATGTTGAATGGGATAATTTTTAAAAAATAAAGCCGTAGGCCTTTTCCAACCGTCTTGGCCCTGCCCACCTTGGGACAGACCTACAGACTGAGATGGGGCAGAGAAAATCTGATTGGCCTGGCATGGCTGATGGCCCTTGAGCACCCGTTTCTGGATCTCTATATGGAAATAATATTTGTCATGACCTGTATAGTTGGGATAGCTTCTGCTTAGAAGAGCTTATTTGAGAAACCACCTTGGGCCAACTTCCTCTCTTCGAATAAGAGGGGAAGCATTTCCAGAAAATTATCCAAATAAGCATAAAAGCAAATTTTGGCTTTTCAATATCCATGCCAATCAGGCCCTAAATCCTGTCTCCGTCTCTGATTTGTTGGAACAGGAAGCCGCAGCACTGGCGGCAACACAGTTTGCAATTGTGGTACAATCCGCTCAAAGCAGCAGAGATCTTCTGGTCGCACCCGCTGCGCCTGCAGTAGCTTCTCTTGCCACTCCGCATCGGGAACAGGTTTAAGTAAACGATAATCCACGTAACGTCCCTGTGCCATTTGAGTGGAGCGGGGTGTTACTTTTATATTTAGCAGGGCAATTATGCTGAAGACTGAAGCTCCTCAGTATTGAAGTATGTTTCCCTTTTTGTTTCAATCTGAAATCCCTAATGTTAGAATTGTGCATGATTGTTGGATCTCTGAGTGAGCTTTCTTGGAGAACTGGTCGAGAGCTTGATTAACTTCATCAAAATGTATTTATATTCTTTTAACCTATTGTATTTTATATATTTCTCTACACATGTCCCAAGAGTATCTCCAAGAAACTATTTTTAAAGAGTATATTCTACAATTTATTAAGTAAAAATTTGAAATAATCCAATAGACTCTTTATATTTAGCAATTAATTTTACTACTTCCAAAAANTGACTTTGACGAGAAAGGAAGCATTAAATTTAGTAGTACAATGAGTATATTAATACTCCCTCCGTCCCAATTATATAGGTTGAGTTTCCTTTTTCTCTTATCCCAAATATATAGGCTTGTTTCCTAATGTAAAATATTTTGTTGTGTTCTTTTACTAATATACCCTTATTAAATTTTCCCCACTTAATATGAAAACTTCTTGAAAATTCAAATTCTTTATTAATTCCAAAAATAATTTAGTTTCACACTGAAAATTAAATAGGGGTAAATTAGGAAAGATCTTGACAAAAATTAATTTTTCAATGACATTAAATAAGCTTTCTTAATCCGCGTGAAAAATTAAACAAGCCTATATAATTGGGACGGAGGGAGTATTATATTATCCTTCTCCATTGAAAATTGAAATAATTTGAATGCATTTATTTAATAGTAAAGAGTGGGTTTTGGAGGGTCAAATTCACCCTCTAAATTAAAATGTTAATTAAAAGAGTTTTTTGGAGTATAATTTTTAAAGTGCATCTTATGTTTATTGGAGATGCTCTTAGCACGAGCAAGAAACCAATGTATTTTCGTTTGTGAGATCGATAAATTTCTTTAGAGCTTCTAGTATTGTATCTTTAGGTCATTTGATGGGCATAAAGAAATCGTTTTGATAGCAACCATAACCGTAATAAATATGATATAGAATCGAATTATTATATAGGTATTTCATTTGTCGAGCTGAAGGATTTGAATAGAGTGATTTGCTTCAAAAATATAAAATTTGTTGTACCAAATGTCGCAAAATGAACTTGCTCGTAATTCTGGTGCAAGTTTTGGCAACCTCCGAACTTTTTATGCTTGAAATTTCAACTAGAAAATTTAATACAATAACTTATACCACATGAAATTAGTTACCCTAAGGCATACGAGTAAAATCGAATTACCCTGCACAAGAACTATATTATTGAAAATATTGGGACTGGGTTATCCAAAGTCCAGCCTTCTAGGTGGCGTGCTTTTGAATACACTAGTAGTAAGCATGTGCGTTGCATGTCTTGTGTATCGTATAAATGATATGTATAATATTTTTGAAGTATTAATACTATTTTTGAAAATAGTTAAGGTAATTCATAATTTTGAAAGAAAAGTTAAAATTAATTGAGGTATATATAATTTTTTTATGAAATTATGTATATAATGTGAATATGTTGAATAAACTGAAATTTAATGTTTTGATTATAGCAACACTTCTTTATACACAATATTTATTTTTTGCTTTTTACCAAAATTTTGAGCACGCATATTTTGATTTAGTTGCAACTTTTTCATTTTCTCCCAGAGAGACGATCTAAACAAATTTTGGTTAATTGTTTGTTGTCTTGTTGCTCTCAGGATGACATGTAATACTTGGTAAAAAATCTCCTTCGAATACAATTTTTTTTTTCCACCAAACGGGTTTGAATTGTCCAAGATATTTCTTAAAGTTTTATCAACGATTTCTATCGTATTTTTGTTGGCCATTAGTAGACTTGTAAAAATGGGCGGTTCGGGCCGGCCCGGACCGCAAGGAAAGAAGCCCGGTCTCGGATCGGGCTTAAAATTAACCGGCCCGGGCGTGCTTCCCGGGTCGGTCCGGCCCGGACCGGGTCAGGAGGTCTGACCCAGCTCGGACCGTTGCACGTTTTTTTTTCCCAAAAAAATAACTATATAAAGAATTATAGTGAAAATCGATAAAAGTTACATAAAAATAAATTTTACATTGATTTATTTTTCGATAAATTTTACATCAATAAATAAATAACATAAAAACTTACAATTGTTCGAACAATATTTTACATAACTTGACAAATTACACAGTTTTGAACTATTTATGAACTTATAGTTAAAGTACATC